CTTATTATAAACATGGATGAAAATGCACTCAGATTGTTCAGCTGTGGTCCCAACGCAAAGGCATGGTTATATTCCATGCGTATGAAGCAAAAAAGCAGTGCGCTGTTATGCCAGTCATTTCATAAGCAATCTTCAATTATTTTAATTCAGAAAGTTCAAAAGTTTTAATTCAGCTGAAGTAAATAAATGACCCTTTACATAGGTATCACATTAGGAGTTCTGTTCATTTTCCTGAGAGCCGAAAGACCGTACGACGCTAAAAGATGCAATGAAATGAAAGCCTCAAGGCCTTTGAGGTCTGCGCTTCAACGCGGTACTGAGACCCATCTTCATCTTTTGTACGGTGGCTAAGATCGACTGCTGGTCCAAATGGAAGTTTACATTCAACCAGATGGCGTTGGAGCCTGGCCGGATGAACGGATTGTAGAACCGTAGCATTCTGATGTTCGGCAGCTTCAGACCTCTCTGCAGAAATTCGTTCATTTTCGATTCTGCAACGGCTTTCGGAATGTCATTCAGCAGACCTTTGGTCAAATCAGTCATTTTTATATGACCATTTGGTGTAAACGTGAACTTTAGGAAAGAAACTGTTCCGTAAATCCGATCGCCTATGGATCTGAGCTTCACAGTGGCCACAGCCGTGATGTTTCCCGATAAACCAACCACGTTTCGTCTCGGTATGATAAATCTTTCCACTGCGTTCACATATATTACCAATCCAGACGGATTTATTTCAACCCTCGGTGGGTTTGTGAATTTAATCTGCAGTGCAAGCTTCTCGTTCGGGTACTTTTCTTCTAACATCGGCACAACAGTTCCGATACAAAGCGAGTCACATGTGGTTTGAAGCATCTGCGACATTCTCGCCGAATTTTTGCCATCGAACGAGAAAGAGAAAAATCCTTGCTTCAGAAGATGGTACAGCAGTGAATTGATGACGTATTCGCCGATGGCTATGGACACCATGCGATTAGTGCCCTTGTCCAAGTCGCCAATCGGCTTTGGATCAAATGGAGTTCCTCCCATGCCATTGGCTGATATTTCGCCGACCATTAACGACTGCAAGTACTTTTGGCCTCCCAGCAGCACGACCGTCGGGTCGCCAATCATCTGTAAGTTAATGTAAAAGTTTTTCGCGGCGGATAGAAATTTTCGCAGCAGCTCACTCTGAGGCTTAGCTTTCAGAACGCTCCTGGTAACTCTCGCTTGTCGCATCTTCGCTCGGTTCCGTAAAATGGGCACTTTCGATGGAATGTTCGCGAAGAACTTGCTGAACGCCGTTCCACCGAAGCTTTGCAGGTTTTTGCAGAAATTTCTTTCAATAAACCTTTTCACCAATAGCCTGATGATAGGCACTGCGAATCTCATGATGAGTCTCGACCCAACGACGTTGTATAGCCGAAGATGGACTTTCCTCAGTTCAACGTGGCACTGACTGATTTTTACATCCATCAGCCGCGAAGAAGAGGCCTGAACTCTCAAACCCATGGTTAGTGTCATTTGCACGATACTGATGTAGAACGTAGCTGATCTCAGGATGCGAAATTCAGTGTTGACGTTGGCCGATGCGTCGAAGTCGAAGTCATTGATTTGGATTAGGATTTGGTTAGGACCGTTGGCCTGCAAGTCGATGAGGAATTGCTCTGGAGGCCTGAACCTGACGATCTTCAGGTCACTTATGGAGATTTTCTTTCTCATTCGTTCTCCTTGGAACACGTCACGAATGTATAGGTTCGACATTAATGAATTGAAAACAGCGGAAACTATATTTCGTGTTTGAATAACACCAGCTGGAGATAGACGAAAAATAATTCCCGGATTTTTGTCCGCGCTAACGCTGCACAGGCAAAGTGTGGTCAACAGTACTTTCGCAATTAGCAACATCCTAAATTAAATCATGTTATGTTATACTCAACTTGGTGCTTTCAAAGCGACTCGCTAAATATTCGTGCAAATGCTTGAAAATGATAAATAGGACATCAACAGCAATATAAGCAGTAATAAACGTTGGAATTAAATTTTAGATACGACTAGAATTAAAAAACAATGATACATGTTGAATTTACACACGGCCGTTGGTTCCTTGAAGCATCCTCAGACATTTGTACTAAACTTGATTCAAGAAAATTAGTAGCGAACGCATATGATAACGACATATGATGTGATGCTGACGTTGGTTCGAATTCTCAAATAGACAGATATGCTTAAGTCGATGGCAATAAATCATTGAGGCCGGCATGAGGATGATTTTACCTTTTGTAGACAAATGTAGCACTGGACTTCATTTCTCTTTGGCACTCGTTGTACTCTTATGAGAAGGCCTCAATAAACTAAGGAATTGTCGTTAACTGAACATTAATTAATTTAAATCATGCTAAACTATTGGAAGCAGCTTTTGAAAGACAAAAATAGCTTTGTTCAAACGAAAATCATTGGCATATCCTTTGGCTGCGACCACTCTAATTATGTACGAAAGGAAAAATAGTGCTGGAACGAAAGAAGGTACTATTTGGATGAAGGAAATAATACTATGCACATATTCCGCAATAAAACAATAATTCGTAAAATTAAACAAAGAACTAAGTGCAGGCAACTGCTTTTTTTTAATCCAGTGTATGGGACTAAATGTGATCTTAAAGTTTCGTAAAATTCATTTTCACTCAACCAAATCCATGACGTCATTAGTTATAACTGAGCAGATAATTATCGATCTTGGACGAAATGGCTTTCAGGATCCAAACTGGCTGTGAACCTCACCTCGCCGTTTGAAAAACCTCAAGCATAACAGCCCCGTTTTGCTTATCCTACAGAATGAAGAATCCCATCGTTTTTAGCTGGCTTCTGGACGGATTCTTATGGTAATAAGTTTGAAGATTTGCCTGTATCTAAAAAGGAAACTTTCCAATCAGACAATTGTTCTTTTGTCGACATGACCGATCTTCCTAACGTTTTAGCTCTGCAAAAATTGCTGTCGTTTGACATTGCATCTTACAGGCAACAGCTTGTGCCTGCAGAAGTATGGAATAGCTGACCATTCGGTCACTCTCTGTTGAGGGCAAGTGTTGAGTAAATGACATCAGACATTTCAATATTTGAACTCGTCTCTGCCAAGAGTGCGTTTTAATTCTTTCATGAAATAATTATTCATGGAGAGGATGTTGTTATCTTCTGAAAATGACCTACAGTGCTCCTTGGATAGGTTTACGGCCGGGTGCGCGTGGAGGTATCTAAAACGAAAAGCCTTGTGTTTTGTCGTTCTCCTGCCTGTAGCTCCGTGCAGATAAATCGAGATGAGACGGCAAATCGAGAGGGTCACGTTTTTTCATCCCTCCGGCAGTGTTTACTAGTGATGGAAAATAGGAGGAAGAGGTCGACCGGCGAATTGGAATCGTCTGCGGAGTTCTGCATGAACTATCCGTAACCGTCGTGACTAAGGAAGTGCTGAATCTGAAGAAGAGGTTGTCTGCGTTCGCCTCGATTTTAATCATTTTGCTTATCAGTGATAGAGAATACTGGTCCATCAGTGATCAACTTCGATCTCGAGTACAAGCGGCTGAAATCGGATGTCCAATGCAATTGCTGGGTTTGCGCGTCTTAACAAGGTCCAGAGTTCAGAAGTCCCAGCCACGTGGTTTGGACACCTTTGACGAGTACCTCCTCAAAAGGCTAAACAGCTAATTTCTTCTCGATCGATTGGCCATAAGCCAACACTATGGGAAAACACTAAGAATGACTTGGTATAAGTACCTAGATGAACACTCAGACTCTGGATATCCTCTGCAGTAGTTTAGACGCTGGCGCAAGACCAGGAACTTTTGAAACACTGTTTGATGCTGCTGTCGCCGCAATGCCAAGGGATAAGTGGCTTTCGCAACTGAGTGATTGATTGTAACGTAGTCTGGTATTTAGAAAAGTTGTGGAGGTGGAATTGAAGGAATTTCATTCTTCTGTTTGCGACTTTAGGTATAATAGTCGTTCAATACCTCATTTGAGTAAGGTGGGCCCTGTCGCCATTTTTGGCCAATGTGAGGCGTGAACTCGATTTATCAGTTTTGCGTCCCTACTGAAAATTCTCCTTGAGCAAAATCTGCTATTCTGATTCCACTGATAATATACTGGTATGGCGCGCACGACTTTGATTAAGGAAATGTGTTGACGATTAAACAGCAGCTGAAATATTGAGCTATTAGTTATAATTTCTAGAAATGAACTAGAGAACTTGGCGCTTTGTTTATTGTGATCTACGTTGTTCGTGTAAAGAAAGTCCAGCTGGAAGAGATTTTTTAAATCTTCCACAAATCTTACATAGAATCATGTTTGGAAATTTTATTGACAAGATTCAACAGCTTCCGAGGAGTGAAAAGATTTCCTCTATCTTGTTAAATAATTAGCTGGCTGCCAAGGAACCGTTTTGAAGCAGAAATGCAAGATGATTGTCGCCACTGATTCTACAGTCTTATTCATTATCAGCTTTAATATGGCTCTAATATTCCTATGTTGTTTATCTGGTTATGTTGCGATTAACAGCGAAGTCATGTGGGTTGTGTTAAGCTTTGATATCGAACCTCTGTTTCATACTGTGAATCGAAACAAAGCTGCTAAATGCGGGATCATGACGAATTTCAGAAACAGTTAGGAGAATCTACTTCTGAAGTCATAACAGAGCCATATGCAGTAAGCAGTTATGTACTAAGCCGTAGTAAACCCAAAAATAAAACATTTAAAACAACGAAGCTTTCGAAATTATGGAAAGAAACCCTTTTATCAGATATTCTCATAATACAGTCATAGAAGCGCTTATGACGCTTAAAAGACAATAATGTGACTCCAAAATTTACGCGGTAAATAAATTTATCGTCTTCAGGTAATTAATTTTTATCTTATTAATTATAATTTCAGTAAATTACCTTGCTTTATTGCATCAGCAAATTTATAAACTATAAACGAAAAAATCGTTGCAGCTCAGTTTGGCAGTAGTTACTATTGTCCATCAAAAGAACAGAATTGTCTTTGCGAGTGTTCCGGAATCAAAAGTGCTGCTGCAAATGAACTTGCATGCTGGATTTTGAACAGTAATGCATAAATGATGCCATATTTTGCAGATATGTACATGCTTCCCTGGATTTTGGCATCTTGCTTA